GGGAGACAAGAGATAGATCTGCAGTGGTACGACACACACACACACACACACACACCTCTGCTTTTCAGCTGCAATAGACAAATGGAAAATAATTTTTAAAGGAAAAAACATATAGTTAACTTTACTTTTATAACAAAACATCTGGGTGTTTAGTAGGTACTAAATAAAAAATATGAGATGGTAATATACAGCTACACCACTTTTGATAGAAAAGTGATAACTTTTCAGAGCATTTGAATTTTAGGGTTTTTTAAGAAAATTATGGAAAGAGAACTAAATGGCAATTATAATCTTGGTAACCAAAACACACACAGTGGTTTATGAGATTAATTTTTATCTTGTGACTCTGAAGTGCTTAGCATATTGGGAAAACTTTGATATTGATATTACGATGCTGGTTAGATGAATCATAACCAGAAGTGGGTGATCGAGCTTTGGCAAAATGCCATGATATCTCATTTATTGTTTACAGATGTCTTTATTATCAGAAAAACACTTTGCTATCAGTTCTTACATAATCATCATACTTGGTCAACTATACTAGCTTTTGGTAGTCACAAAATTATTTTTGGCCACCTTTAAAAAGGTATGACAATTTAACTATCTAATTAATTAAAATTTATACAAGAAAAAAAGCTAGTTTGAAAATGCATTGCACAATAAAAACATTGATAATTATTAGTGTATGATTGACCACTAAGTTAAGACAAACTTCTTCAGAGAGTAAAATTTATATTAAAAACTGCTGTTAACATAAAAATCCACCATCAAAATACTGATCATAGCAGACTAAAAAGTTTCTCTAAATATTCTTGCACTTAATTTTCTTCTTAGTAGACGTTTTTTTCTTGTTTATTTTTTGACTTTGTGGTAAAGCTCTGGATTTTGAAGCTGGCAAATAAGGTTTGAATCCAAGTGACATCATAACACATTCACTGTAACTTAAGCTGTGGGTGCATTATAAGAGTGAAGGCTAATCTCAAAGTTTGGGTGGTAATGTGTGGCTGCGTTTTCTCTGGTCAGTAGTTCCAAATTAGTTTTGAAGTATAGGAAACAGTGTAATTGATTTTCAGTATTCTTTTAGAGCTGTTTTATTGTGTTAAAGTTTAAATATAGTTTAATAATAAGTGAAATATTTTTTCTGAAAAGTTGGAAATTACTAAATTGTTATAGTGTTATATTTTATGAAAAATATTGCTCCACCCCATGAAAATGTCCTACAAGTGGTATGATTTATTTATAAGCTTACTTGAAAATTGGAACATTGCAGTTTTGTGAGAGTCAAATAATGAATTAGTCTTAACATTTGTAATTGTATTACTTGTATATGGTTGACCATAGTAAATCCCCCTCTGAAGGTTCTATGGATAGTAATTGTATTTTGTGTGGGAATATTTATGAAATCAAGTGTTAAATATGCAATAATTAACAGTGATGGACATTTTGAGTGATTATGTGAATACAGATTAATCACAAAGAAAGGTTTTTACTATTAATTACTTGTGCTTTAATTAATTTTGGGGGGGGGATGATTGATAAGGCTCATTCTCTATTTGTCTCAAAGGGAATATTTTTTTTCTAATTTCAGGAAATTACATTGCTATTACTTTTCTCACTGTGAAAAGCTAGATTTAAACTTATGATTTTTATATTTTTCCAAAGATTAGAATATTGTTCCCTACAAACCTTTGAACTAACAAGCTGGTGCTGCTCTTTGTCCATTTGATGGGCAAGTTCAAAAGGCTTCTATTGTTTTGTGTTCTAAAAAGTCCATGCTTTGATATTATATATTTATTTCTCTGGGTAGCGACCTAGCTGCTCGAAACTGTGTTGTCACCTCAAACATAACTGTGAAGATAGGAGACTATGGAACGTCCATTCAGAAATATAAGGTAATTGACCTAAATCATTTTTAAACACTTACAAAATATAATTTTTTTTTCATTAGTGAGATTAAAATGTAACTTGAGTTTTTCTTCACCAGATTTTTTTAACTTTGATATGTTTTCTTATCAGGATTCACACAGGCCATGAAAATCTGGAAGATCATGGAATTTTGTAAACATATTGTGCAGTACTGGAAATCCTGGAAAGGCAGTGTTTTTTTGTTGTTTTTTTTTATCAGGAGGTCCTGAAAAAGTCCTTAAAATTCTAACTCCATCATTCCAACATACCTCATATCTATTGAAAACTAGCCATACCATTGTGTTAAACTCAGTTTCGTGAAAATGAACCTCTAGAAAATGTAATTCAGAAAGTGGGAAACATAGTGACGTAGCAACACCAATCTTTAACAAGCTTTAACTTTTGTACCTCCATTTGTAATTGAACAGGTGTGCATGACTAGTATAACTATTGATGGAATGATATTATTAGCATAAAATAAACTAAAGGATCACTTAGCTAAATTGTAAAGTCATGAAATTGATGATTGTATGAAGAACATTATCAGTTCTGAATTTTCCTAATTCCATCTTCAGCATAAACACTGCAAAAATAATTAACAGAGTTTCTAGCCAAGTTCTTTATCAGTTGTTGCTTAAAATTTGTTGATAGATTGAAGAGAAATGCAAATCCAAGCCTCAACAATATAATAGGATGAGTGGTGTAAACCTAACTGTCATGCATGAAATAGTCAAATATTCACAATTAACAACAGCCCATCAGTTTATGTCTAATTAGGGCACCTGTTATTTATATAGTGACCAGTCTATTTCAGGATATTTTGAGTAGCATTTTGGGTCCTATTACTAAATATTTTGAGAAAAATCTTCTGCTTTTAAGGGACAATCAGGACTATAAATACAGTATTGTGATGATGTATCTTATTAATATTATTTTGTCTCTGTGTTCTTATTAGTTTTTCTTTCAGATCTAAAATTCTTGAACTAGGTAATAATTGTACTTGTATTCATTGAACTCAGTGATAACAGATACACAATTACAACAAATATAATCATCTTTTAGGACAATTATTGTACGAGAAAACCCATAAGCTGAACACCATGTTGAAATATAAAGGTTTTTCATTAATTATGCTTGTCATAAGACATTAAAATGAGATCTATTATACTTTTTAACACTATATTTTTTATTCAGTCCCTTAGGGTTGTTTCAAGAAGAAGAATGTATAATAATATTTTAACCACACTATTTCTAAAATGTTCAATGCCAATGACTCTTTTGCTGAATACAGAGCTCATTAGGTTGGATGGGATACAACAAACACAGTAGTGATCAGAATACTATTTATGTAAGCCATTTGTTACAACAGGAGTTGTTATGGTGTGAGAGTACCTTTTCTAAACTGGTGAAGTATGGTTACTATTATTGAAGCATTAGTGTAAGGCTTATTTTATTTTTAAGACCATATTCTCATCAAGCTCTTAGAGCTTTTTTTATGAAATGAGGAAAATGTATAATATTTCAACCACATTACATCTACCATATTCATTGCTAATGGTGCATTTCACTCTATACAAAGGTCATCAAGCTAAGTGGGATACAACTTCTGTAATGATCAGAACACTATATAAGCCATTTGTTAAAGCAGTTAAAATGTGAACATTTTTTTCTTAGATTTCAGAGTATTATTATAGTTAATTTATATTTGTCATAAGGCATTAGTAAAAAGCCTTTTTTTAATTATCCTTAGGGAAATTGTGAAAATTTTAATTAGGTATACTTGTAACAAATGACTTCAAATATGAAATGGTTGTGTTTACAAATATTTGTATCTTGTAAGGAGGTTTATCAATAAGGTAACTTAAGGCACTTTATCAACTCAATATTAAGTGTCTTACACATGCAACAAACATGACTACTTTGTTTATGATATTAATACATCTAACTGAGAGATGTTTTGTATTTGATTTATTTACAGGATGACTACTATCACCTTGGCAGTATTGCTGTTCCTATTCGTTGGTGTGCACCAGAATGTCTGTTGTGTACAGAAACAACAATAGAGACCAGAGAGCTTACAAAAGAAGCAAATGTGTGGTGAGTTGGAAAAAAACTATATATGTATATTACAATATCAAATTGCTATCTTAATTATCCAAACTATCAGTTAGAATTAAAAACAGGTTTGTTTGGTGTTCATATCTTATAACTGATTGTTCGTACAGTAAATATGAAGTAATCGAAACTTGATTCTTTATATATATAGTTGCAATTAACTTTTCCTTGCATACACAAGTGCTATGATGACATATTGATCACATTGTATAACAATTCATAATACCTAAAGATGTAAAAGCTGTCGTCCAAAATAATATTAAAGCAGTTTTGAATAAGTCAGTGCAATGTGTACAATGTCTTCCAATTTTCACAACACCATTAACATTGGTTTCTTCAATGGAAGTCACTTTTGAGTCACTAGGTAGTTCAGAGATTTTTATTGTGTTGTGTTTAAGGTGTTTGCCATCATATCTTTGAGCATTGTTTTTATTTCCTATGTAGTAAAACAGCTTTTTTTTTCGGTGAATTAATATTAACTTCTGGTCAGAGCAAGCTACTGACATATATCAAAAGTAAAAATTAACTCGTTAATAAGTATAGTTAATTATATATATATACTGTTTTTACATTCTTACTTAAAGTTGAAAAACTCCAAGAACAGTGAGGGTACCAAACTGATGACCTAGGGCAGAGTGGCCATAGAAAGTTTTTTTAGTTGGTCTGTTACTCATAAGTAAGACTATTTATTATTAATTGTAATTATAATCACAGAATTTTAACAGCTTTTCTGGTACAAGATTTTACAAGTTGAATTATAAACCTTTGGAATGCATTGTTCCAGTAGTTGATTACCCCTCACTCTATTTTCATTCAAAGCTGCTTGAACAATATATTTTGTATAGAAACTGTGGTATAATTCAATATTTATTAACAAAACAGCTTAATAACATTTTTTACTGCTATAAAATATTTTGTATTTGGCTTAACTGTTTCACTGTCATGGACTCGTGTATATGTCCACTTCCAGAGCAGTGTCATGGAAGTTTGAAATTTTGTACCATCCTTTCAAATTATTGAAAGTTTTCCAATTACATGTTTCAGTAATTAAATAAATATTAAAATGTGTGCTTTTTGTTTTTATTGTGTAACTGAAAATAAACACAGCACTAGGAGAAATGTTTATTTACAAACATGACAGTGAAAAGTTAAAAATAGCTCAGTTTTAAGTAACATAAATATATGTTGTTAGATCTTGCAATCATAACTCTACATGCAATATGTTTTAAACCTAAAAATTCATTATATGTTATATTACAGTATTGGAAATAGTTATAGAAATGGATAATAAAAACAGTATAAAAGACAAGTATTGTCTGTATGTCATCCCTGTGGGATGTGAAAATGAACTGTTCCAGGGTACTATCGTACATTGGTAGTGTATTCTGATTGGTTATCATTCAATGAGCAGTCATAGAATGCTTAGTAACAGTAGTGTCAATCCAGTCATGACTTGTATTACGGAAACACCTCATGTCAAGCATGTAAAAATTTCAAGTTTAAGCTGAACAAAGATATTCCATATGCAAAATTGTGGCAAGACTTCATACTTCAGTAAGAATTATATGCAATACTGTAAGAGGGTACATGAAACTAGCATTGTTAATAATAGAAGTGGTCAAGGAAGAAAATCAACTCCTCAAAAAGTGAGGTTAAGTATTTTAAATATGTTCTTTATGAGATAAACAATGACCTTTCCATAAATATAGGTGTGAATATTACCTCAAAAACAGTAAGACACTCATTAGTACAATGTGGTCTCAATAAAAAGTTGATGCTTGAAAATCTCTCCTGAGAAAAGGTAACTAAACCAAAAGGTTGAAGTCAGCACTGGACAACAAATAATTGAATAAACAAGCTAAAGATATGTGCTTTTTTAAGATGAATCTAAATTTGAATTGTTTGGTAACAACCAATGACAGTTTTTTTTAATGGTGGAGAGGAGAATGGTACCATATTCAATTTTAAACATCCACGGTGAAGCATAGTGGGAATAAGTATAAGTTTGGGGCTATATCTCAGTCAGTAGGGTTTGTAATCTACATTAAATTGATGGCACCCTACATGCTGACAAGTACATGTAGTTTCTGATCCATCATGCCATTCCCTCAAGAACATCATTCATTGGATGGGGATTTATCTTCCAGTGATTCCAGGAATACAGCAAATGTAGATATCTGGATGGTAAAGTGGGCAATGGAATACTTGCATCCATGACTTGGCTTGCACAATCCCAATATGAAAATTCTTGAGATTGTACGATCTTATTTAAAAACTGAAAAAACAAATTGCAATCCAATAACTTGGCTGAATTGTTGGAATAATAAGACATTTGGAACAATATTTCACAACTGTACATTTATAAACTGTATAGCAGCATGAAAGCAACTTGTAATACGCTGTTTAAAGCAAAGGGCTCATGTATGAAATACTAGTCCATTGTACAACTTTTTCACTTTTCTTTTGTATTTTCAGAGGTAATGTTTCATACCATTAATAAATTCATTTTATAGTCGCCATTACTCACTGTTTGCGATTTCTGTCTGTATATATCTTGTATGTGCAAGTCAGTAAATTTCATACAAGGGATTAATTCTTTACACTTTAAAAATCATAGAAACATGTGGAGCATATTTATAAATGTGTACAATGGTTTATTTCAGTAGCATGTACACGTGCCATTAAGTTTAAATACGTACTGTAATCAATATTAAAGTTATTTAGAATCTTTGGAAGGTATGAATGGTTGAGCAAGCCATGATGATTTTTAAATTTTTGTATTATAGACCTGTTGTGAAGGAATATAAATTACATGCTAAATTAGCTGTCATATTGCTTTCTTCTTTATATTTGTGAATTTTAAGACAATTTTCATGGGTCTGTCTGAATGTGAATTGTTGTGTGTGTTGTACTGTATACTTTACACAATTGAACTTTTTTTTACACTGTTTTACTGACTTAAGATACAATTCAAAACAAACCATTTAATGTTTTTGGGTTTCCTTTCACATTAAATAAATATGGCATTATCCATTACTCTCACTATATAACCTTGTTTTGGCTAGTATAATAGTGAATAATGTACACATTCCACACTACAAATGTTCACGTATCCTATACTTTAAAATTTTAATCTTAACAAGACCTTTTAACACCTACTGAGCTTTATTTTAACTATCATTTCAATAATGAGTTATTTCATTAGAACATTTCAATCATTATTTTGATGCAGAGATTTACTAATCAGAAACTGAAATTCTTGAAATTTTGTATATGTTTTATATTTGATCAGTAATTTGACAAATGCCAACTGTTACTTCAGTCTGCATGTTACACATGTTACAACGTTTCATGTGATGGCATTTTTAAAATACTAGGTGAAATCAATGATAGAACACAATTAGAAATTTGTAATATTTATGGAAAGTTACACTGTATACTTGTGCTTGTTAATTGAAGAACTAATAGAACTTGTTTTAAGGTCAAATATTTGATTACCTGGTTAGTTAGACTATTATTAGCTTGATATTGGAGAAAAGCTGTGCTACTAGTGTTTGTCAAGATAGGGTTGGATGTACTCTTACAACTTCACATTATTTTAGTTTATTTCTCAATCTTTAAACAAATATGCTTTTGACCTCATGAGATTTATATTACGTAATTGTAGTATTGTATTACAGAACTTTTTATGTAATATTTTTGTTGTGTATCATAATTGCACCTTAACAAGTGGAAACTCAAGCATAAATTTTATGTATGTACAAAATGTGTGCTTAGTCTCCAAAACCTGGAGATCATTGTCATATTTTGAAATTGTAAATTTTCATATAATTCATTCTTAAAAGGCAGATGGATTCTATACAGACATAAATTTAAGTTTTTGTTTTGATTTTTTGAAACTGAAATCACGTGTGTGTGCAGCCCTTAGCAGTATCTAGTTGTGTATGTAGTGTTATTTCTATTATTTTTGTTCCTATAAAGAACCAAAATGTAAAACATTTTGTGTGTTTGTGATGATATGCCAAAGATGCATTTATTAATCTACTTTCTCACTAACCTCTTTATATTTTATAGGTCATTAGGAGTTTTACTTTGGGAGACCTTAGAATTTGGAAAACAACCATACATAGAGTTGACAGATGAAGAAGTTCTACAGCAAGTTATTACTGAACAAACAGTGAAATTAGAGAAACCTAAGACTCCTTGTGCTCATTCTAAAAGACTGTAAGTGCTTGGCGTGTTGTGTTCTTACTTTAATCTGAATTTTTTTTTTGTCCACAACTGTATTTAAAAACAAAATTTATGAAAGTTGAATAATATCAAGCACCTGTAAATTAAGTTGTGAAAAATAACATTTTGCATTTTGCAAACAGAAGGAAAGATGATGATGATATTTTTATTTTGTAAGAAACGAAAATTATTGCCTAAGAATTGGCTTATTGTATAAAAAGTTTAATCTAGTTACTGTTCTTTTTGAAAAATGTGTACTATAATTGCTTTTAAGAAAACAGTACATTTTAATTATTTCATAGAACATGCTATGAAATGTTGCTTTTTTTTTTCAACATATCATTTAACTAACCCAGTACAGTTTCTAGAAAGGTGAGACGTACATAATATTTCAATGTTGATTAGATTTAGGCCATTTCAAAAAAGAAAAAATTGCAAGGGGTCATTAATCCAGAGAGGATACAAATTTGAAAAGCATTTAAGATATAGTAAGTAGCAAAATAAACTGTGGTAGCATCATGTAAGCCATTTATGCATTTGCATTCATCGAAATCAATGCTTATAAACAAAACACAAACAACATAAAGCATAGTAACCATTGAAGATTTTTAAACTGATTTAATTTTTTGGTAAATTTATGGTGACACAGTTGTATATTATGCCATTACTTGAAAGCCAGGTTTAGCATACACACTTATTAGTAATAATTCACTAACAGGTTTGTTGACATCATACACTAGTCCAACTTTCTGAAAGAAATTTTGCATTAAAGTATCTATTCTTAGACTAATATAGTAATAATATTACTATATCGTATTTATTAAAGTTAACTCTACTTCTTTCAGAAATTATGTACAGCTGTTTCAAGAAGAATGCACATACACACACACACACACACACACACACACATATACAATCTCTATGCTCATGACAAGGCAAAGTCCACAGTAAGACTGGGAGTTTCAAGTTACAAGTAGAAGTTTTTGTAAGGAGAAGAGGGAAATTCCAAATGAATGACTTCAACAAACAAGAAGAGGGAACCAGTAAAATTAATTTACTTTTACATACCATAAACAAAATAAAAAACTATGATAAAGTTAATTATTTGAAGACATGCATCAAGAAAATTTTCTGACATAAGAATTAAGTGTAGAAAATCACAATTTTTTAAACAACTTTTAACAGTTTTGTTATACTTCACTTTTTTTTGCAGGTATGAAATAATGAAAATCTGCTGGGAGATAGTTCACAAACGTCCAGTAATTCAAAAAGTGGCAGAACTTTTGAGACACCTGTATGAAAACAGGAATTTACCATCTGATTCAGCAGAATTTGAAATTCGTTGGAATACTTTGCAACCCATCCCAAGGAATCATAACATTTCATCCACTGATTCATCTAAGGTCTGTATGCAATTTGAAAATGATTTCATCATGAATCAAAAACAAGACTTTATGAAAGATGGGGAAAGTTCATTTTCTTTTTCGGAAGTAGAACATTCATCCCAAGAAATATCACCTTCTCGGGGTTCTCTCTCTACAGGGTATGAAGTAGGTTTTGAACCACATACATACATTTCTCCGAGCCTACAAAACCTTAGAGGAAGTATAGAAGACTTGAGCACATTCGAAGAAAGACCGTTCCAGAGTTCTGAAAATTTAGGTCATTTGCATGCAAAAACTAAACAGCTGGGGTCACCTGAAAAAAGTTCAGAACATGCTATTACTGCCCAGCAAATATCTGATGCAATCAGAGACCTAGACAGTATGCTTGCAAATAAGGCCTCTTTGTCGGGAGAAACTTCTAACAAGATGTTTCCTGACAAAAATCAGCAAAAAGATGCAGGGTTGATAGAAAATAAGGTGCCAGACAGTTTAGTACTTGCAGATAAAGATTCTCCCTTTAGTAGCCTTGATTATGAGAAAGATAGCTCTAGCTCAAAACTTAATAATTTATTGTTGGAAAGCCCAAAAGCAATGGCAGATCTTTTTAAACTTACTGTTATTGACAGTGAAACCAGCAGTGATTCAGACAGTATGCCTCATCAATTTCTTCAAGAAAACAATTCTGCATTGACAATCAATGATGTGAAGACCCAGAGTAATTTATATAATGAATTTGAAGCTGTAAATAAGCTAGATAGTACAAGTGAAGTGAAATCAAGTAAAGATTTGATTACAGTACCTGTTAAAGAACAAGAACATGAAGAAAATGTCCAAATATTGCCCTCAACAAGTCACATTTTATCAGAATTAGATCAACAGCCTAATTCTTTAATTTATGTAGAGGGTTACCAACCAGAATCTGTTTCAAGTAGTCAATGTCTGGAAATCGGTAGTAAACATGAGGAAACATCAAACACATCTAACAAACATAATATATTTAAAGATAATTCAGCATTTGTGCCAAGTGGAGATAGTGAAAAAAATGAAAACACAAAAGAAAAGAAACATTCAGCATCACCAAACATAGAGAATAAAAATGTAGACACTGAAAGTGGCAATTGTGATGACAGTGCAGAAGGTTTGCCTTTAGAAGTTGAGGCTGTTTATGTAAGTATTTTTCTGACATTGCTTGCTTTTGTAAAGATGCATTTTCTCTCTTAAAAAGATCCTTTTATATTTGTCTTATTTTCTCGGTGCATCTGTAAATATGCCCCCCAGTGGCACAGCGGTATGTCTGCGGACCTACAATGCTAGAAACCGGGTTTCAATACCCGTGGTGGACAGAGCACAGAAAGCCCTTTGTGCATAATTAAAATACATTACAATGCATCTGTAAATGTACTTATTTCTACTGATGATGGGTCAAACTTTGCTTCTGTTGTAGCAGATATTTATCACCTAGACTGTTTTTCAATAGCTAACTAAGATTGAAACTTTACATCATAACTATTCTTGATAACTAACCTAACCCCTATCTGTACAAAGACAAATTCCTTCACTGATTTTCCATTTTATCAAATGCTTGTGCCTAATTCTAATATTTTTTTCTCATGTGCTGAATTCCAGATTGAGCATCACTGACTTGAAAAAGTAGCCAAATGAAACTGACTGTGTTCCAGCAAATTGTACAGTCCAGAAAAAAAGAGACTAAAATGGGAAAAGTGCTATTATCTTGTAATTCTTCAAGAAAATTATCATTTAAAGGTTATCTTAATACTGCAATTCAAGAAAATATTGCAATACTGTATACATACATAATTTTATTTTTCTGTTAAAATGTGTGTAACATCTCAATTGGTGTTGATTCCTTGAGTGCAAATAGTGTAAGCAAAATAAGTGTGTGTTTATGTGTGTTTGATATATTAGTGCAAATGATGAGTATATGTATGCAGTGACAGCCATTTGAAGATAGTTGTATTAAAAACAAAAACCCTTTTCTTATGAACCAGTGATATTGCCTACTAGGCAATTTTATCTCCAACTAAGCTTAAATAATCAAAAACCCATAGTAGTTAAATATGAAAATAATGTGTGTATTCTCTTGTTAAAACAACATGGTAAAATTTACTTTAAGTGTTAAAGAATATCTATTAGGCCAGTGGCTTTCATTTTTTGTTTGTGGACCACCTGATATCTTTTTTCTTATCTCAGCAGACCACAACAACAGGATCTATAGACTATGCTGCCAATCCTTTCTGTAATTATGCAATCTTTCCATGGACCACAGATTGGGTACCACTATATTAGACTATTGATTTTCATGGTCAGAAGTAAATATGAGTAATTAGATTTTCTCCTTTAAATTAAAGACATGAAAGTTATAGCAAAATATTATCTACTTAAAAGAGATGAGAAAGTCCTTCATGGCTGTTCCTGTGAAGAGCCACAACACTGCATAATGGAACTAATGTACATTTAATATGAAGGAAACTGAACAACAAAATTTGTACAAAATAATTCCTTGTGAACCAACCACCACAAAGAATTAATAATCGTGAGTTGGATGAATTATAAATGCCCAAAATTATCAGTGAAATAAATTGGCTGAATGTTCTTCTAGGAGTAAAAATTAAGATCAGATACTGTTCGTGCTGTGATTTTTAAAGAGCTTGAGATTTGAGACTAAACCGACTACATTGGACACATCACACTTCAGAATAGCATAAGCATGTTGCATTTACACTTGACCTAACTGCCTTGTAGATTTTTTGTATGCTATGACTTGATGTGCTCTCTGTCTGTTATATCACTTTCTTTGATTCTGCAAGAACTTAATTACAGTATTTGTTGTGCAGTGCTAGCCCATAGGCCAATATTTTTGTAACCATTTTTATTATGTTCAGAAAGAATTTAGAAAAAAACGTAAAATATGTTAAGAAGTTACTTTGATTCATAACAGTAATTTTATATATATATATATTTGCTGCAGCACAGATATGGCAATTAATATTAGATTAAGACTTCTGTAATGTAACAATTTGTTTGGTTCCCTGAAATTTATTATATTAAGAGTCCAGAGCTCAGTAAAGAACTAATAACTGATGCTTCTTCAACAAGGCAGTGAGCAGATTGTGCAATTATTTCATGAGCCACGTCACATACAAACCTCTGGTATCATATCTTATACAACAGAGCTTCTCCACTGATTTTGTCCCATTTTTCCAAATGTAAACAGTGGCCAGTGAAAATTGAAGTGATGTTACATCATCTATAACTTGTACTGTACACAGATAGGATTTTCTTAAAAAGTACAGAAAGTTAAATTGAGAAAACTATCTATAATTATAAAGAAACAACTACTGGCATTTTGAATGAGGATAAAGTTGTAAACAAAAGTTTTTAAAAACAAAAGAATACCAGAAATGTAATTTTGTACTGTTGAAAATGATTTTAACTACTTTATAAAGGATAGTAGGTCAGTCGTTTAATGCTCTAATGAATGCAGTTTGGCTCGAGGGCAAAATTACACCATTGAATTAAAAAATTATAAAAAATAAACTTCTAATAATTTCTCCATATAAAAAAACACTTAAGAGTTGAAATATACTCAAAAAGTTTTTGATTTTATGTATACAAAAATCTTTAATTGCAAATTGTTTTTAGAGTTGATTTCACCAAGCTCCCAACAAAATCATTAGTGTTTGAGAATTTACTGGATATTTTCTGAGCATAATGTGGCACTTGTAATTTCAAAGGAAGAAAGTTCTAATAGGTTTGAACAAAATTGTATTAATTTGTCCTTGTAACTTGAATACAAGTACAGTTTATACATTTTTAGCCAACCACTATTTCTTGACCTTGGTTCTTGTGGTGTGGTGTAATTTTCTATATCTCAGTAAACAAGAATTCATAGGCTACTGATGTTAGCTTATCAGGAAAGCTCTCTTTCCATTCTTTTCGACTATAATACCAATAATGTTTCCAGTTATGTGGCAACATCTGTAGGTGTTGGGAAAAATCGATAGAAGCTTATTGTGGTGATATTTTGCTAGAAAAAAGGTGACTGTGAACAACTTTCACTACCATTACAGAGCTGATTTATTTTTAGAACTCGAGAAAAGTTTGCCTTATTATTTTATATTTCATTTAAAGTGTGATAGGAAAAAATGTTTTTGTGAAACAAAATGAGATAGGCTTAGTTAAATCATTTTGTACTTGGCTATATCTAGTTTGGTTTTGCTGACACAGCAGCTGTGTTAGGACTGATTTGCATTAGGGCGTACAGTCTTAAGGAACTGCTTCAATGGCAGAGAAAATCACTGAAAAAAAAAATCTAAAACAAACAAATGAATATAAAGTGGGTTTAAAACTTATCACATATTAAATGAAACCTTCTGATTGATAATATAAAAATATTTGGCTTTCTTATACTTTTAGCATTGTAAAAGTTATTTTTATTGTGTGTCAGTTATTGCAAGCATAGTAAAACTGCATGCCTTATTCTAATCCAAACAAAGCTAAAATTTAGTTTTATAAAATAAAAACTTCACATGAAAGTTTAAAGAATGTAATAAGACATAAGTCATTAATTAAAACCTACAACAAAGGTACACATTTTTTACTTATTTCTTTAAAAAAATCACAATGAAATATTTCTGAAATTTCAAAGCAGCAAATTTATACAAATATTGCATATGAAAATAAAATATTTGCAGAAGCTACATAATCTGTTATATTTATAAACCCCCAGTATGTGGTTTGTTTGAAGGGTAAGTCCAACTGCTGATCACAATTAGTATGCTTAAAATATCAATAACAGCAATACTATGCAATTAATGAGTCAGTTCTTAATTATTATACAATATTTTGTTTTATAATATTACATAGTTACCATTAAACTGATATAATTAACTACATTATTTAGTGGGTTAATTTTCAGTTCTGATCTCTGTAGGCAACTTGTTTTTCCAAAAGTTATTGATAATATATTTATGGTGCTTATTGTTATCCAGGAAAAATCCAGGTTTGATTATGTTGAATTTTTTTTAAGTTTTGGGTTCAAGAACAAATACCATTGTTTTCCATGTAATTTTCAAAATAATAAAAGTGGTAGGTATTTAAAAAATCTAAAGGTGTTCAGAGATGGTAGTTTCATGTCATCAAGAAAGTTTTGAATGTAATGGAGATAAACGAAATCATGAAAATTTATAGACCAAAGAAAAGCTGTATGGTAGGAACAACAACCCCAACAAGATATAATTCAGGTGGGATGAAAAAAGGAGAGGAAAAGTTCATAGAAAGAAGATGAAAACAGTTTTATGTCTAAAGGAATGCAACTTGTGGAGTTTTGTTCATTGAAACTTTCAAGGAGATAAAGCAGTAATCTAAGAAAGGGATGAAATAGTCCATCAATTTTAGTACTTACATTGGAGTCTTAATAAGGGTAGGTGTCACTGCAATACATTCAGTTTGTGTCATTAATATGGTGGCACAAAAAGTTATCGGCCTTATATACTGTAAAGGACTTGTTAAAGTTTTCATATTTTGCTTGCTTGATTATTAATTATAATATTAGTTAACAATATTTGATAAATGAAGTGCTCAGAAATAAACATATATGCATATGTATATAAGTTGTGAAACCAGATATTATTATAAGTAGCATACCATGTAGTATTATCTAGAAATAAAACACATGAGTATCATACAGTATATTCATTTTTTAGATAGTGCATTAATCGAGCTTCAAGAAACACTCATAAAACAGTAAAAATACATTAATGATTTTTTTTTAAGAACCTGGTACAAGATATTTCTTCCTTTATAATAATTTATTGTTTTCTCAATTTTTCCTTTAATTTTTTTTTGTATATACTTTTTAATCTAAATGCGTGTTATTAAGTTTTATTGCTTTCAGTACTGGTAGGGTTAAAAATTGTCTGAAAGTTTGCAAGAAGAAAAATTAGCTTAAAAACCTGTAACACACAGGGCTTTGATGATAAACTCAAATTACCAATGTTCTACTTTATTTGTCAGTACCATATTGATTTGATACATTAGAACAAGTTTTTTTGAAACTCTTGAAATTTGGGCATGCTGTTTTTTTTTTCTTCACTTCTAATTTCCTTGGGATGTCTGACTCAAGTGTTTATTGTCATTACCATCTTTTTCATTCGTAAAATATCACAGAATTTTAAATATTACTATAAACATTATAGTGTAGATTGTTCACTTCAGTAGCATGAGCTGCAGCCTGTAAACATTCCAGATCTGTACAAATAGATACACCATTATAAGTGTGGAATACAACACCTAGCTACGATATTAAACATAAAAGATTTATACATGTTCATCACAACACACAAATCTACAACAAAATCTATCACCATGCTATTGGCACCAAAAATTAATTTCAATAAGTATGTAAATAATATGTATATGAGCTAAGAAAAGAAAAGTTTATCGTACCAGAAATTATAATTAATGTCTCTTTAAATAAAACATTTTTATCAAAAAACCACAGTAGTGGTTAATAAAAGGATTTGCCCATTTGTTCTTAATTACTATAATTTAATATTGTAATAAAACCTGGGCAGTGTAACTAAACACATTGTTGTGCATTGTGTGTGTGGTAGTTTTTAACTTTGACTACCTTGCAAATAACAATGGCTGTATAACCATTGACACCCAGTTTTAATGTAGTCTGTGACTTATATGGAGCCTCATAATCTACTACATGCATACGTATATAGCTGCATGCAGGCCATGGATGTAACCTAATGTTTATATGGCAGGCATGACACATGTACCATAGTCATTATTAACTTATTGTTGCAACTGTATTGATGTCATGTATCATTTGTTTATGTGTAGAGTTCCTGCCCTTTTGGGCATGATGCTGCTGACAGGATCATAGTTTTTTTACTACTGCATGATTGATTTCAACCTTGTTACACAAACTCCTAAAACATTACACAAATGTCTCAAACATTATACAAATGTATTGGCGGTTTCCCATGACAGAAATCTTTAAGCTGTGGTTTAAAGGATAGTACCAAGCTCAGTTTCGAGCATTCGATTGGCAATCATGGTGATGGCTGATGGTAAATGTTGAATTATAACCAATGCTGTGAGATTGCAAATTTCATAGATACTGCAAATTGAGTAGCCATCCTTCAAACTGGCTATAAGGAATGGCAAGAATTGTGCAAGCAGGAGATGGTAAAAATAATGGGCATTCTAGGCAAAAGTGGAGCAGAAAATTTGTTGCTATATATTTATTTAGAAAATATTTAGTTTCAAATAAGGTATGCAGCAGTGACTGCCCACCAGAGTTTAGGGTCCTCACTGTGGAAGAGGGTCGTAGTGTCATGACTCAAACTCCACCAGAAAAGGGGAGGGGGGTATATTAATATAATCAATTCATAATTGTTATTTAACACAATTTTCAACATTATATAGTTTGTAGAATGTCACTCTAAGAGGAAATCTGGCCAGCTGCAGCAAAGCTAAGACTGGCCGTACTATGGCCAGTGTAAGGTTAGGAAGTGGAGAAATATATTGACTATAACAAATATTAAAAATGCTTATTTGTATACATAGGTTATTATCTTACAACACATTGTCTTATATTTACATTGAATATATATATATATGCATGCATTTATACAACTTGAAAAATTCATTTAGGTAACTATATATATAGCTTTACAACTTAAAAACTATAAAGCCTGCACATGTGTATATATAAGTAAATACTAGCCGACGTGCATTGCATGTGCAAGCACGTATAAAACTCGTGGCTACAAAATCCAGTCCAGACATCATTCCAGTATAGTTCAGTAGTCCTTCTAGTCCAATATTTACAGAATTCCCAATATAGCTACAGGGTATAAATATTGTACTTATATATATTTTACAAGTATATACATAACATAGTATGCTGATCACCAGGCATCATGGTCACCATACATGCAGTACCATTATCAATGATATCGGGAACAATAGCCATTCGATTTGCATGAAGCCAATCCAAAGTTGTCATTGTTTCCTGAGAGAGTGTTATACATCAACTGCGTATTTCATTAAATTAAAGTGTTTCTAACAGGACAATATTGTTATTATGCAGATTTATCTCATGATGGACATAAAAAAATAAAGAAATGAGATTATTAAAAATTTTTAATTTAAAAAGGGAGAATAGGGATCTTCCAAAATATACAGAAACAAGATAGGTAGCTTAAAGTGAAAATGCATTTGCAAAAAAAATGTAAAAAAACAAGCTTAAGGTTATTATTTCCTCAAGCTACAAAACCCTATTTTGACTCCATGTCTAAAGCTGTAATATTTAGAAGTTAAAATAGGGAATTGTAGCTTGAGGAAATAATGACAACACTATGTCTCAAACCTTTAGCTTGTATTTTTACATTTTTTTGTGATTGCATTTTCAATTTAAACTACTTATCTTTTTTTTCTGTGTTTTTTAAAATTAAGAATTTTTAATAATCTTGTATAATGTAAATGGATTGACTACTTGATATGAACACTTTATTTTATGCAAGAACTGAAGTCACAGTAACTACGAATATAACCACATTTGAATAACTAGCTTTTTGAAGTCCTAAACCATGGTTTCATATGATTTTTTATCATGTTCATCACATTGTGTCCTTTTTATGTTGTCAGGAAACAAATTGAACATAATCTGTATTATCTTGTGGTTTTGTGCCAGTTTTAGATATTTGTGTTGAAATTAATACAAATTGTTTTGGTGATTTAACTGACAGTGTTTAAACTTTATAAGAAAAATAATGTTAATGTAGATATTTTTTTACATATGGTGGGGCAGTGTGACAAACCTGAAGCAAGAGTGTTGGTTTAGAGTAGGGTTGTTTTGTTCAATTAAGATGGATTCCTTGATTT